TATCCAAGCTTAAGTAGTTCAGGTCAGCATCCAAAGCCTTGAGGAGTTTAAGTGTTAAGCCATCCCAAGTTTGAGTTAGCTCAAGTGTTAGCATTCCAAGCTTGAGTAGTTCAAGTGTGAGCATCCCAAGCTTAAATAGTTCAAGTGTCAGCATCCCAAGCTTGAACAGTTCAAGTGTTGGCATCCCAAGCTTAAGCAGTTCAAGTGTTAGCATCCCAAGCTTGAGCAGTTTAAGTGTTAGCATTCCAAGCTTGAACAGTTCAAGTGTCAGCATCCCAAGCTTGAGTAGTTCAAGTGTCAGTATTCCGAGCGTGAACAGTTCAAGTGTCAGCATCCCAAGCTTAAGTAGTTCAAGTGTCAACATTCCGAGCATGAACAGTTCAAGTGTCAGCATCCCAAGCTTGAACAGTTCAAGTGTTGGCATCCCAAGCTTAAGCAGTTCAAGTGTTAGCATCCCAAGCTTGAGTAGTTCAAGTCAGCATTCGAGCGTGAACAGTTCAAGTGTCAGCATCCTAAGCTTGAGTAGTTCAAGTGTCAGCATTCCGAGTGTGAACAGTTCAAGTTTCAGTATTCTGAGCTTGAGTAGTTCAAGTGTTGCCATCCCAAGTGTGAACAGTTCAAGTGTTAGAATTCCAAGCTTTAGTAGTTTAAGTATTAGTATCCCGAGCTTGAACAGTTCAAGTATTAGTATCTCAAGCTTGAGTAGTTCAAGTGTCAGCATCCCAAGCTTGAGTAGTTCGAGTGTCAGCATCCCAAGCCTTAACAGTTCAAGTATTAGAATTCCAAGCTTGAGTAGTTCAAGTGTTAGCATCCCAAGCTTGAGTAGTTTCAGTGTTAGTATCCCAAGCTTCAGTAGTTCAAGTGTCAGCATCCCAAGCCTGACTTAAGTATTTTAATTTCCAATAGTGAGTAGTTCGAGTGTCAGCCCGAGCGGTGAGTCAGTGTCAGCATCCCAAGCTTAGTAGTTCAAGTGTCAGCATCCCAAGCTTGAGTAGTTTAAGTGTCAGCATCCCAAGCTTGAACAGTTCAATTGTTAGCATCTCAAGCTTAAGTAGTTCAAGTGTTGGTATCCCAACTTAAATAGTTCAAGTGTCAGCATTCCGAGCGTGAACAGTTCAAGTGTCAGATCCCAGCTTGAGTAGTTCAAGTGTTTATCCCAAGCTTAAATAGTTCAAGTGTCAGCATTCCGAGCGTGAACAGTTCAAGTGTTAGCATCCCAAGCTTGAGTATTTCAAGTGTTAGCATCCCAAGCTTAAGTAGTTCGAGTGTTAACATCCCAAGCTTGAGTAGTTCAAGTGTCAGCATCCCAAGCTTGAACAGTTCAAGTGTTAGCATCCCAAGCTTGAGTATTTCAAGTGTCAGCATCTCAAGCTTGAGTACTTCAAGTGTTAGCATCCCAAGCTTCAGTAGTTCAAGTGTTAGCATCCTAAGCTTGAGTAGCTCAAGTGTTAGCATTCCAAGCTTCAGTAGTTCAAGTGTCAGCATCCCAAGTGTGAACAGTTCAAGTCTTAGCATCCCAAGCTTGAGTATTTCAAGTGTTAGTATCCCAAGCTTGAACAGTTCAAGTGTCAGCATTCCGAGCGTGAACAGTTCAAGTGTTAGCATCCAAAGCTTAAGTAGTTCAAGTGTCAGTATCCCAAGCTTGAACAGTTCAAGTGTCAGCATTCCAAGCTTGAACAGTTCAAGTGTTAGCATCCCAAGCTTGAGTAGTTCAAGTGTCAGCATCCCAAGCTTGAACAGTTCAAGTGTCAGCATTCCAAGCTTGAACAGTTCAAGTGTTAGCATCCGAAGCTTGAGTAGTTCGAGTGTCAGCATTCCGAGCATGAACAGTACAAGTGTTAGCATCCAAGTGTGAACAGTTCAAGTGTTAGCATCCAAGGTTGAGCAGTTCAAGTTGTTAGATCCCAAGCTTGAGTAGCTCAAGTTCAGCATCCCAATGTGAACAGTTCAAGTGTTAGCATCCCAAGGTTGAGCAGTTCAAGTGTTAGCATCCCAAGCTTGAGTAGTTCAAGTGTCATCATGATAAGTGTGAACAGTTCAAGTGTTAGCATCCCAAGCTTTATTAGTTCAAGTGTTAGCATCCCAAGCTTGAGTAGTTCAAGTGTCAGCATTCCAAGCTTGAGTAGTTCAAGTGTCAGCATCCCAAGTGTGAACAGTTCAAGTGTTAGCATTCCAAGCTTGAGTAGTTCAAGTGTTAGTATCCCAAGCTTGAACAGTTCAAGTATTAGTATCCCAAGCTTGAGTAGTTTAAGTGTCAGCATCCGAAGCTTGAGTAGTTCGAGTGTCAGCATTCCGAGCGTGAACAGTACAAGTGTTAGCATCCCAAGTTTGAGTAGTTCAAGTGTTAATATCCCAAGCTTCAGTAGTTCAAGTGTCAGTATTCCAAGCTTGAACAGTTCAAGTGTTAGCATCCCAAGCTTCAGTAGTTCAAGTGTCAGTATCCCAAGCTTGAACAGTTCAAGTGTTAGCATCCCAAGCTTGAGTAGTTCAAGTGTCAGCATCCCAAGCTTGAGTAGTTCAAGTGGTAGCATCCCAAGCTTGAGTAGTTTGTTAGCATCCCAAGCTTGAGTAGTTCAAGTGTTAGCATTCCAAGCTTGAGTAGTTCAAGTGTTAGCATCCCAAGCTTGAGTAGTTCAAGTGTTAGCATTCCAAGCTTGAGTAGTTCAAGTGTCAGCATTCCAAGCTTGAGTAGTTCAAGTGTCAGCATCCCAAGCTTGAGTAGTTCGAGTGTCAGCATTCCGAGCGTGAACAGTACAGGCGTTAGCATCCCAAGCTTGAGTAGTTCAAGTGTTAATATCCCAAGCTTCAGTAGTTCACGTGTCAGCCTCCCAAGTGTGAATAGTTTAAGTGTTAGCATCCCAAGCTTGAGTAGTTCAAGTGTCAGCATCTCAAGTGTGAACAGTTCAAGTGTTAGCATTTCAAGCTTGAGTAGTTCAAGTGTTAGCATCCCAAGCATGAGTACTTCAAGTGTTAGCTTCCCAAGTGTGAACAATTCAAGTGTTAGCATTCCACGCTTGAGTAGTTCAAGTGTCAGCATTCCAAGCTTAAGTAGTTCAAGTGTTAGCATTCAAAGCTTGAGTAGTTCTAGTGTCAGCATCCCAAGCAGGAGTAGTTCAAGTTTTAGTATCCCTAGCTTGAGTAGTTCAAGTGTCGGCATCCCAAGCTTGGGTAGTTCAAGTGTTAGTATCACAAGCTTAAATAGTTCAAGTGTCAGTATTCTGAGTGGGAAGAGTTCAAGTGTTCGCATCCCAAGCTTGAGTAGTTCAAGTGTCAGCATCCCAAGCTTGAGCAGTTCAAGTGACAATATTCTGAGCATGAACAGTTCAAGTGTTAGCATTCCAAGCTTGAGTACTTCAAGTGTCAGCATCCCAAGCTTCAGTAGTTCAAGTGTCAGCATCCCAAGCTTGAGTAGTTCAAGTGACAATATTCTGAGCATGAACAGTTCAAGTGTTAGTATCCCAAGCTTGAGTAGTTCAAGTGTCAGCATTTTGAGCGTGAACAGTTCAAGTGTTAGCATCCCAAGCTTGAGTAGTTCAAGTGTTAACATTCCAAGCGGAGTAGTTCAAGTGTCAGCATTCCAAGCTTAAGTAGTTCAAGTGTTAGCATTCCAAGTATGAACAGTTCAAGTGTCAGCATCCCAAGCTTCAGTAGTTCAAGTCTTAGTATCTCAAGCTTAAGCCCTTCAAATATCAGCATCCCAAGTGTGAACAGTTCAAGTGTTAGCATTCCAAGCTTGAGTAGTTCAAGTGTTAGCATCCCAAGCTTGAACAGTTCAAGTGTCAGCATCCCAAGTGTGAACAGTTCAAGTGTTAGCATCCCAAGCTTAAGTAGTTCAAGTTTTAGCATCCCAAGTGTGAACAGTTCAAGTGTTAGCATTCCAAGCATGAACAGTTCAAGTGTTAGAATCCCAAGCTTGAGTAGTTCAAGTGTCAGCATCCCAAGCTTGAGCAGTTCAATTGTTGGTATCGCAAGCTTGAGTAGTTCAAGTGTTAGCATCCCAAGCTTATACAGTTCAAGTGTTACCAACCCAAGCTTTAGCAGTTCAAGTGTCAGTATCCCAAGCTTGAGCATTTCGAGTGTCAGTATCCGTAGCTTGAGTAGTTCAGGTGTTAGCGTTCCAAGCTTAAATAGTTCAAGTGTTAGCATCCTAAGCTTGAGTAGTTCAAGTCTCCTCTCATTTTCACTGAGTCTAGGCTCAAATCAAAGTTCAAGCAGCTTTATGCTAAGCACTTCTAGTCCAAGTGCCCTGAGTATGAACAGCTCAAGTCTTTTTAAGTCTGTAAATAGTTCAAGTCTTGGCAGCCCAAGTTTGGGTGTTTCAGTTTCTATTATTTCAAGTTTTAGTAGCTCAAGTGTTAGCATTCCAAGCTTGAGTAGTTCAAGTGTTGGCATCCTAAGCTTGAGCAGTTCAAGTGTCAGTATCCCAAGCTTGAGTAGTTCAAGTGTTGGCATCCTAAGCCTGAGCAGTTCAAGCGTTAGCATCCCAATCTTAAATAGTTCAAGTGTCAGTATCCCAAGCTTGAGTAGTTCAAGTGTTGGCATCCTAAGCCTGAGCAGTTCAAGCGTTAGCATCCCAATCTTAAATAGTTCAAGTGTCAGTATCTTAAGCTTGAGCAGTTCAAGTGTTGCCATCCCAAGCTTGAGCAGTTCAAGCATTAGCATCCCAATCTTAAATAGTTCAAGTGTCAGTATCTCAAGCTTGAGCAGTTCAAGTGTGAGGATCCCAGGCTTAAATAGTTCAAGTGTTATCGTCCCAATCTTAAATAGTTCAAGTGTTAGCATCCTAAGCTTGAGCAGTTCAAGTATTATCATCCCAAGCTTAAATAGTTCAATTATCAGCATCCCAAGCTTGAGCAGTTCAAGTATCAGTATCCCAAGCTTAAATAGTTCAATTATCAGCATCCCAAGCTTGAGCAGTTCAAGTGTTGGCATCCCAAGCTTAAATAGTTCAAGTGTTAGCATCCCAAGCTTAAATAGTTCAAGCGTTACCTTCCCAAGCTTGAGCAGTTTAAGTGTCAGTATCCCAAACTTGAGTAGTTCAAGCGTTAGCATTCCAAGCCTGAGTAGTTCAAGTGTTAGCATCCCAAGTTTGAGCAGTTCAAGTGTCAGTATCCCAAGCTTAAATAGTTCAAGTGTTAGTATCCCAAGCTTAAATAGTTCAAGTGTTACCATCCCAAGCTTGAGCAGTTCAAGTGTCAGTTTCCCAAGCTTGAGTAGTTCAAGTGATAGCATTCCAAGATTAAGTAGTTCAAGTGTCAGTATCTCAAGCTTGAGCAGTTCAAGTATTAGCATCAAAAGCTTGAACAGTTCACGTGTTAGCATCTCAAGCTTAAACAGTTCAAGTTTTAGTATCCCAAGCTTGAGCGTTTCAGGTGTCAGTATCCTAAGCTTGAGTAGTTCAGGTGTTAGCATTCCAAGCTTGAGTAGTTCAAGTCTCCTCTCATTTTCACTGAGTCTAGGTTCAAATCAAAGTTCAAGCAGCTTGATGCTAAGCATTTCTAGTCCAAGTGCCCAGAGTTTGAACAGCTCAAATCTTTTCAAGTCTGTAAATAGTTCAAGTCTTGGCAGCCCAAGTTTGGGTGTTTCAGTTTCTATTATTTCAAGTTTTAGTAGCTCAAGTGTTAGCATTCCAAGCTTCAGTAGTTCAAGTGTTAGCATTCCAAGTGTGAACAGTTCAAGTGTCAGCCTCCCAAGCTTAAATAGTTCAATTGTAAGCATCCCAAGCTTGAGCAGTTCAAGTGTCAGTATCCCAAGCTTGAGTAGTTCAAGTGTTGACATCCCAAGCTTGGGTAGTTCAAGAGTTCAGTATCCAAACTTGAGTAGTTCAAGTATTATCATCCCAAGCTTAAATAGTTCAAGTGTCAGTATCCCAAGCTTAAATAGTTCAATTGTAAGCATCCCAAGCTTGAGCATTTCAAGTGTCAGTATCCCTAGCTTGAGTAGTTCAAGTGTTGGCATCCCAAGCTTGGGTAGTTCAAGTGTTGGCATCCCAAGCCTGAGTAGGTCAAGTATTAGCATCCCAATCTTGAGCAGTTCAAGTGTCAGTTTCCTAAGCTTGAGCAGTTTAAGTATTAGCATCCAAAGCTTGAGCAGTTCAAGTGTCAGTATCCAAAGCTTGAGTAGTTCAAGTGTTACCATCCCAAGCTTGAGCAGTTCAAGTGTCAACTTCCCAAGCTTGAGTAGTTCAAGTGATAGCATTCCAAGATTGAGTAGTTCAAGTGTCAGTATTCCAAGCTTGAGTACTTCAAGTTTTGCCATCCCAAGCTTGAGCAGATCAAGTGTTGGTATCCCAAGCTTAAATAGTTCAATTATCAGCATCCCAAGCTTGAGTAGTTCAAGTGTTGGTATTCCAAGCTTAAATAGTTCAAGTATTAGCATCCCAATCTTAAATAGTTCAAGTGTTACCATCCCAAGCTTGAGCAGTTCAAGTGTCAGTTTCCCAAGCTTGAGTAGTTCAAGTGTTGGCATCCCAATCTTGAGCAGTTCAAGTGTTATTATCCCAAGCTTGAGCAATTCAAGCATCAGTATCCCAAGCTTAAATAGTTCAAGTGTCAACATCCCAAGCTTGAGTAGTTCAAATGTTAGCATTCGAAGCTTGAGAAGTTCAAGTGTTAGCATCCCAAGCTTGAGTAGTTCAAGTGTTAGAATCCCAAGCTTAAGTAGTTCAAGTATTAGCATCCCAAGCTTGAGCAGTTCAAGTATCAGCATCCCAAGCTTCAATCATTCAAGTGTCAGCATCCCAAGTTTGAGTAGTTCATTTGCCAATATCCCAAGCTTAAGCAGTTCAAGTATTAGCATCCCAAGCTTGAGCAGTTTAAGTGTTAGCTTCCCAAGTTTGAGTAGTTCATTTGTCAGTATCTCAAGTTTAAGCAGTTTAAGTGTTATCATCCCAAGCTTAGATAGTTCAAGTTTTGGCATTCCAATCTTGAGGAGTTCAAGTGTCAGTATCCCAAGCTTGAGCAGTTCAAGTATGAGCATCGAAAGCTTCAATAGTTCAAGTGTCAGTATCCCAAGCTTGAGCAGCTCAAGTGTCAGCATCCAAAGCTTCAATAGTTCAAGTGTCAGTATCCCAAGCTTTAGCAGTTCAAGTGTTAGCATCCCAAGCTTCAGCAGTTCAAGTGTCAGCATCCAAAGCTTCAGCAGTTCAAGTGTGATCATGCCAAGCTTAAATAGTTCAAGTGTCAGCATCCCAATCTTAAGGAGTTCAAGTGTCAGTATCCCAAGCTTGAGCAGTTCAAGTATTAGCATCCCAAGTTTGAGTAGTTCATTTGTCAGTATCCAAGCTTCAGCAGTTCAAGTGTTAGCATCCCAAGCTTAAATAGTTCAAATATTGGCATTCCAATCTCGAGAAGTTTAAGTGTCAGTATCCCAAGCTTGAGCAGTTCAAGTGTTAGCATCCCAAGTTTGAGTAGTTCATTTGTCAGTATCCAAGCTTGAGCAGTTCAAGTGTTAGCATCCCAAGCTTAAATAGTTCAAATATTGGCATCCCAATCTCGATAAGTTCAAGTGTCAGTATCCCAAGCTTGAGCTTAGTTCAAGTTAGCATCCAAGCTTAAATAGTTCAAAATAGCATCCAATCTCGAGAAGTTCAAGTGTCAGTATCCCAAGCTTGAGCAGTTCAAGTATTAGCATCCCAAGCTTAAATAGTTCAAATATTGGCATCCCAATCTCGAGAAGTTCAAGTGTCAGTATCCCAAGCTTGAGCAGTTCAAGTGTTAGCATCCCAAGTTTTAGTAGTTCATTTGTCAGTATCCAAGTTGAGCAGTTCAAGTATTAGCTTCCCAAGCTTAAATAGTTCAAATATTGGCATCCCTATCTCGAAAAGTTCAAGTGTCAGTATCCCAAGCTTGAGCAGTTCAAGTATTAGCATCCCAAGCTTAAATAGTTCAAATATTGGCATCCCAATCTCGAGAAGTTTAAGTGTCAGTATCCCAAGTTTGAGCAGTTCAAGTGTTAGCATTCCAAGCTTAAATAGTTCAAATATTGGCATCCCAATCTTGAGAAGTTTAAGTGTCAGTATCCCAAGCTTGAGCAGTTCAAGTGTCAACATCCCATGTTTGAGTAGCTCATTTGTCAGTAGCCCAAGCTTGAGCAGTTCAAGTATTAGCATACTAAGCTTCAGCAGTTCAAGTGTCAGTATCCCAAGCTTGAGCAGTTCAAGTGTTAGCATCCCAAGCGTAAGTAGTTCAAGTGTCAGCATCCAAGTTTGAGCAGTTCAAGCGTTAGCATCCCAAGCTTAAATAGTTCAAATATTGGCATCCCGATCTCGAGAAGTTTAAGTGTCAGTATCCCAAGCTTGAGCAGTTCAAGTGTTAGCATCCCAAGCTTAAATAGTTCAAATATTGGCATCCCGATCTCGAGAAGTTTAAGTGTCAGTATCCCAAGCTTGAGCAGTTCAAGTGTTAGCATCCCAAGCTTCAGCAGTTCAAGTATTAGCATCCCAAGTTTTAGTAGTTCATTTGCCGGTATCCCAAGTTTGAGCAGTTCAAGTGTTAGCATCCCAAGCTTAAATAGTTCAAATATTGGCATTCCAATCTCGAGAAGTTTAAGTGTCAGTATCCCAAGCTTGAGCAGTTCAAGTATTAGCATCCGAAGCTTAAATAGTTCAAATATTGGCATCCCAATCTCGAGAAGTTTAAGTGTCAGTATCCCAAGCTTGAGCAGTTTCAAGTGTTAGCATCCCAAGTTTTAGTAGTTCATTTGTCAGTATCTCAAGCTTGAGCAGTTCAAGTGTTAGCATTCCAAGCTTAAATAGTTCAAATATTGGCATCCCGATCTCGAGAAGCTTAAGTGTCAGTATACCAAGCTTGTGTAGTTCAAGTATTAGCATCTCAAGCTTAAATAGTTCAAATATTGGCATCCCAATCTCGAGAAGTTTAAGTGTCAGTATCCCAAGCTTGAGCAGTTCAAGTGTTAGCATCCCAAGCTTCAGCAGTTTAGTATTAAGCATTAAATAGTTCAAATTGGCATCCCAATCTCGAGAAGTTTAAGTGTCAGTATCCCAAGCTTCAGCAGTTCAAGTGTCAACATCCCATGTTTGAGTAGCTCATTTGTCAGTAGCCCAAGCTTGAGCAGTTCAAGTATTAGCATACTAAGCTTCAGCAGTTCAAGTGTCAGTATCCCAAGCTTGAGCAGTTCAAGTGTTAGCATCCCAAGCTTAAATAGTTCAAATATTGGCATCCAATCTCGAGAAGTTCAAGTGTCAGTATCCCAAGCTTGAGCAGTTCAAGTATTAGCATACTAAGCTTCAGCAGTTCAAGTATCAGTATTCCAAGTTTGAGCAGTTCAAGTGTTAGCATCCCAAGCTTAAATAGTTCAGATATTGGCATCCCAATCTCGAGAAGTTTAAGTGTCAGTATCCCAAGCTTGAGCAGTTCAAGTGTTAGCATCCCAAGTTTTAGTAGTTCATTTGTCAGTATCCCAAGCTTTGAGCAGTTCAAGTGTTATCATCCCAAGCTTAAATAGTTCAAGCATTAGTATCCCAAGCAGTTCAAGTGTCAGCATCCCAAGCTTGAGTAGTTCAAGTGTCAGCATCCCAAGCTTGAGTAGTTCAAGTGTCAGCATCCCAAACTTGAGCAGTTCAAGTGTCAGCATCCCAAGCTTGAGTAGTTCAAGTGTTATCATCCCAAGCTTAAATAGCTCAAGCATTAGTATCCCAAGCAGTTCAAGTGTCAGCATCCCAAGCTTGAGTAGTTTAAGTGTCAGCATCCCAAGCTTGAGTAGTTCAAGCATTAGCATCCCAAGTTTGATTAATTCAAGTGTCAGCATCCCAAGCTTGAGTAGTTCAAGTGTCAGCATCTCAAGCTTGAGTACTTCAAGTGTTAGTATCCCAAGCTTGAGCAGTTCAAGTGTTAGCATCCCACGCTTGAGTAGTTCAAGTGTCAGCATCCCAAGCTTGAGTAGTTCAAATGTCAGCATCCCAAACTTGAGCAGTTTAAGTGTCAGCATCCCAAGCTTGAGTAGTTCAAGTGTTATCATCCCAAGCTTAAATAGTTCAAGCATTAGTATCCCAAGCAGTTCAACAGCATCCAAGGAGTAGTTCTAGTGTCAGCATCCCAAACTTGAGTAGTTCAAGTGTTATCATCGCAAGCTTAAATAGTTCAAGCATTAGTATCCCAAGCAGTTCAAGTGTCAGCAAGCAGTTCAAGTGTCAGCATCCCAAGCTTGAGTAGTTTCAAGTGTTACATCCCAAGCTTGAGTAGTTCAAGTGTTATCATCCCAAGCTTAAATAGTTCAAGCATTAGTATCCGAAGCAGTTCAAGTGTCAGCATCCCAAGCTTGAGTAGTTCAAAGCATCCCAAGCTGAGTAGTTCAAGTGTTATCATCCCAAGCTTAAATAGTTCAAGCATTAGTATGTAGTTCAAGTGTCAGATCCCAAGCTTGAGAGTGTTCAAGTGTCAGCATCCCAAGCTTGAGTAATTCAAGTGCATCCCAAGCTTAAATAGTTCAAGCATTAGTATCCCAAGCAGTTCAAGTGTATCCCAAGCTTGAGTAGTTCAGTGTCAGCATCCCAAGCTTTGAGTAGTTCAAGTGTCAAGCATCCAAGCTTGAGTAGTTCAAAGCAATCCCAAGCTTGAGTAGTTCAAGTGTCAGCATCCAAAACTTGAGTAGTTCAAGTGCATCCAAGCTTAAATAGTTCAAGCATTAGTATCCAAGCAGTTCAAGTGTCAGCATCCCAAGCTTGAGTAGTTCAAGTGTCAGCATCCCAAGCTTGAGTAGTTCAAGTGTTAGCATCCCAAGCTTGAGTAGTTCAAGTGTTATCATCCAAGCTAAGTAGTTCAAGCATTAGTAGAAGCAGTTCAGTGTCAGCATCCCAAGCTTGAGTAGTTCAAGTGTCAGCATCCCAAGCTTGAGTAGTTCAAGTGTATCATCCCAAGCTTAAATAGTTCAAGCAATCCGAAAGTAGTTCAAGTGTCAGCATCCCAAGTTGAGTAGTTCAAGTGTCAGCATCCCAAGCTTGAGTAATTCAAGTGTTATCATCCCAAGCTTAAATAGTTCAAGCATTAGTATCCCAAGCAGTTCAAGTGTCAGCATCCCAAGCTTGAGTAGTTCAAGTGTCAGCATCCCAAGCTTGAGTAGTTCAAGCATTAGCATCCCAAGTTTGATTAATTCAAGTGTCAGCATCCCAAGCTTGAGTAGTTCAAGTGTCAGCATCCCAAAATTGAGCAGTTTAAGTGTCAGCATCCCAAGCTTGAGTAGTTCAAGTGTTATCATCCCAAGCTTAAATAGTTCAAGCATTAGTATCCCAAGCAGTTCAAGTGTCAGTATCCCAAGCTTGAGTACTTCAAGTGTTAGCATCTCAAGTTTGAGTAGTCCAAGTGTCAGCATCCCAAGCTTGAGCAGTTCAAGTGTCAGCATCCCAAGCTTGAGTAGTTCAAGTGTCAGCATCCCAAGCTTGAGCAGTTTAAGTGTCAGCATCCCAAGCTTGAGTAGTTCAAGTGTCAGCATCCCAAGCTTGAACAGTTCAAGTGTTAGCATCTCAAGTTTGAGCAGTTCAAGTGTCAGCATCCCAAGCTTGAGCAGTTCAAGTGTCAGCATCCCAAGCTTGAGCAGCATCCCAAGCTTGAGTAGTTCAAGTGTCAGCATCCCAAGCTTGAAACAGTTCAAGTGTTAGCATCCAGTTCAAGTGTCAGCATCCCAAGCTTAGTTCAAGTGTCAGCAAAACTTGAGCAGTTCAAGTGTCAGCATCCCAAGCTTGAGCAGTTCAAGTGTCAGTATCTCAAGCTTGAGCAGTTCAAGTGTCAGCATCCCAAACTTGAGCAGTTCAAGTGTCAGTATCCCAAGCTTGAGCAGTTCATGCAGTTCAATTGCTATTAGTTTAGGACCAACCATCTCACATTCTAGTTCAAGTCTAAACTTCACCAGTTCTATTCCAAGTAGTTTGAGACCAGATATTTCACTTTCTAAAAGCTCAATCTCAAGTGAGAGTCTTAGCAATGCAATACTTAACAGTTCAAGTTCTATCATCCTAAGTTCAAGTATTTCATCTTCTGTGAGCCTAAACTCTAATATCAGTTTTAGCAGCTTAATTCCAAGTAAGTTGAGATCTAGCATTTCATATTCAAGCATCCTTAGTCTAAGCAGCCCGAAACCCAATGTCCCAAGCAGCAGTTCAAGTTTAAACAAACCAAACTCAAGCCTTCCAAGTTCTAGTTTAAGTCCAAGTATAAGATTTTCTATTGACCCAAGTTTAAGTATCTCAAGTCCAAGTAAGTTCTTTACTACGACTTTATTCATATATTATACATATTATTACAATACTATTACCATAGTCATTATTCTAATTCTGTCATCTTTGCGTTTCCCCCTACTGCCACAATAAATTTTATTATGACTAATATTACACCTGGAATACGTACTTTATGTTCTGAAAGTGTTGAATAAACATTACATATACTTAGAACCTGTCTCATCTTTAAATTAAAATCACATCCAAAGGAAAAAGAAAGGTAATAAGTGTTAAATTGTAACTGGAAACATTTACTGCATATGGTGTTGTATTAGCATGGTAGCTATTTATTACATTTGTCCACAGGCTCCAGTAGTCCAACTTCTTTCAGTTCAAGTAGCTCAAGTTATATTAAATCAAGCTCTAGCAGGTCTAGTAACCCAGGCTGTAGCAGCTCAACTACCAGTTCTGAGTCAAGTAGTTTGGTATCTAGTTTATGTAAGTTTATGGTGTACTATTTTTTTTACATACTAATGTTTCATACATATATATATAGTATATATATATATATATATATATATATATATATATATATATATATATATATATATATATGTATATATATATATATATATATATATATACACACACACACACACACACACACACACACACACACACACACACACACACACACACACACACACACACACACACACACACACACACACACACACACACACAGTACACAGTATATGTTTAAAAATACATTATGCATGCAAGAGAGAGAGAGAGAGAGAGAGAGAGAGAGAGAGAGAGAGAGAGAGAGAGAGAGAGAGAGTAGAAGAAGAGAAAATAAAAATAAAAAACGACTAGATTAACGTTTATTTTTAAAGACACCTGTCAAAGACATTTTTCATGTGGAGCTAAAGATATACGTCGATAATCACACATCAGTAATTTGAAGTAGACTTGGGAGACCCATTTAATTTATTGCCAACCATTGATTGATCCGCTTATATGTTTATAGTAATTTTCTATTCGAAAACACAGTTTGAACATATTATTGTGATTAGTTATCTTCACAGTCTACGGCGATGTAATTGTTTGTTTTATTAGCCTCAACTTTGAGATGTAGCAGCAGCACGTCATAGTCATAGAGTTTTCGTGAATACTGCCCCCGGTCTTGGATTTTATATCCAGTTTGCTCCTTGTCAAATCAGGGAGTGTTGGCATCAGCTCTTAAGGTAGGGCAAGAAAGAAACAAGCCATGCCAAAGCTTAGTAGGCATGCTTAGTGATTTCACTTCGATGTGGGTCCATTATTTAAAATTCATTTGACCACTCCATTTTTTATCCTCACATGGCGCTTAGATATGAGCCATAATTGAAAAAAAAAAAATTGATTTGACCAATTCATTTATCCTCCCAGGCAGACATATGCCATCCACTGCTGTCACCATCAATGTCATTTCTATCATCATCATCAACTGTCAAAACCATAACTACCAACAATTTGGTTTGTCTTCCAATTTATCAAACTCTACACCAGCCAAATACCAGCTATTGCTCAAGGGCATACAGATTTTCTTGGGCATGTGATACCATTAAATAATATCATGTCAACTGTCCACACACAGATGAACAAAATGTTGGGGCAGCTACTGCTGAGTGATAAGACATTACCTGCAGACCAAACGAAGCCACGAAAATACTTGTAGGCCTAGTGTTCGGTGCAGAAATCTTATGAATATACCTTCATTACTCTTGCACTTACAGAAAGAAGAAAATGCCCATGGTTTTTACTACTATTGATCTGTTTTATTCACTTCATTATTTTATTCCACAGGTTCAAGTTCTAGTAGCTCTAGTTCCAGTAGTTCAAGTTCAAGTAGCTCAAGCTCAAGTAGTTCTAGTTCAAGTAGCTCAAGCAGCTCAAGTTCCAGTAGCTCTAGTAGTTCAAGTTCAAGTAGTTCCAGCTCAAGTAAGTAAAAATATTGCATAGATATATATTATTATTCTAGAAATCTGATCTTCAGTTTTATCAACCCTCTCGTGCAAGGGAAGTTGCTAATCAGCAGCTCAGCTTTACAAAACAATACGATTTTCTATTCACATTTAAGATGTGCTGGAAAGAAAGCTTATTTATTAGTACACAGGATGCATATGCACGGGAGGGTTAATTGCAACCTTTGTAATCTCTTTCCAATTGTTACAGAGATCTGTAGTTCCTTATGATTTTAGTTACCTTTTCTCAGTCAAATGTTTAATGGATAATCTTTTGATGTGTAGCTTGGTTGAGATTGAAATATTTCTGATAGATGTAGCAAATTTATGAAATTTTATCGAAATATTTCCTTAAAAATGAAATCATATTCATTATTCTCAGGCTCAAGTGGAAGTAGTAGAAGTAGTATTATTTCAAGCAATTCTAAGTCAAGTTCTTTGAGTATCATTTCAAGCATATCTACTTCAGTTAGTGAACCTTGCATTAGTCAAAGTTCCTCCTCGAGAATTTCATTTTCATCGAGTGAACACAGTTGTTCAACTTGTATTCAGAGCAGCAGTTCGACTTCAAGTATTTCCTGTTCAAGTAGTGTTCTTATCTCATGCAGTAAACATACATCTAGTGAAAGTAGCTCTTTCTCAGGAAGTCAATCTGTTCCAAGCAGTTCTGCATCAAGCTTAATCAGTCTCAGTAAATCAAGTAGTACAATGATATCAAGTAGCTGTTCAGGCAGTGGAAGTGATATTGTTTCCAGTAGCTCTGAGTCAAGTAGCCAGAGCAGTTTGAGTTCTGTTATATCAGTTTCAAGAAGTGAATCTGGCTCAAGTAGCTCGTGTTCAAGCAGTATAAGTGCTTGTAGTAAATCTACATCAAGCAGTCATGGTAGTCCAAGCATGACAAGCTCAATCAGTGGAAGCAGCTCAGACAGCTTACTGGTATCATGTAGTTCCTCTGGAATTAGTTTTGTTTCCAGCAGTTCTATGTCAAGTAGTCTGAGCACTGTATCTAGTTCGGTCAGTAAGTGTTCCCTTAGAGGGGAGAGCTCCTCTTCAGTCAGCTCCATTTATTCCTCATGTATTCCAAGCAGCCTTGTCTCAAGAAGTTCCAGTTACGTTAGTTCATCTTCAAGACTGAGAGTAGCTCTTTCTCTGGAAGTAAATCTGTTCCGAGCAGTTCTGTATCAAGCTTAATCAGTCTCAGTAAATCAAGTAGTACATGATATCAAGTAGCTGTTCAGGCAGTGGAAGTGATATTGTTTCCAGTAGCTCTGAGTCAAGTAGCCAGAGCAGTTTGAGTTCTGTCATATCAGTTTCAAGAAGTGAATTTGGCTCAAGTAGTTCATGTTCAAGCAGTATAGTGCCTGTAGTAAATCTATATCAAGCAGTCATGGTAGTCAAGCACGACAAGCTCAATCAGTGGAAGCAGCTCAGACAGCATACTGGTATCATCTAGTTCTAATTATAAGTAGTTTGTTTCAAGCAGTTCTATGTCGAGTAGCCTGAGCACTGTATCTCGTTCAGTCAGTAATGTTCCCTTAGAGAGAAGAGCTCCTCTTCAGTCAGCTCCATTTATTCCTCATGTATTCCAAGCAGCCTTGTCTCAAGAAGTTCCAGTTAGTTCATCTTCAAGACTTGAGAGTAGCTCTTTCTCCGGAAGTAAATCTGTTCGAGCAGTTCTGTATCAAGCTTAATCAGTCTCAGTAAATCAAGTAGTACAATGATATCAAGTAGCTGTTCAAGCAGTGGAAGTGATATTGTTTCCAGTAGCTCTGAGTCAAGTAGCCAGAGCAGTTTGAGTTCTGTTATATCAGTTTCAAGAAGTGAATCTGGCTCAAGTAGCTCGTGTTCAAGCAGTATAAGTGCTTGTAGTAAATCTACATCAAGCAGTCATGGTAGTCCAAGCATGACAAGCTCAGTCAGTGGAAGCAGCTCAGACAGCTTACTGGTATCATGTAGTTCCTCTGGAATCACAAGTAGTTTTGTTTCCAGCAGTTCTATGTCAAGTAGTCTGAGCACTGTATCTAGTTCGGTCAGTAAGTGTTCCCTTAGAGGAGAGCTCCTCTTCAGTCAGCTCCATTTATTCCTCATGCATTCCAAGCAGCCTTGTCTCAAGAAGTTCCAGTTGTGTTAGTTCATCTTCAAGACTTGAGAGTAGCTCTTTCTCTGGAAGTAAATCTGTTCCGAGCAGTTCTGTATCAAGCTTAATCAGTCTCAGTAAATCAAGTAGTACTGATATCAAGTAGCTGTTCAAGCAGTGAAGTGATATTGTTTCCAGCAGCTCTGAGTCAAGTAGCCAGAGCAGTTTGAGTTCTGTCATATCAGTTTCAAGAAGTGAATTTGGCTCAAGTAGTTCATGTTCAAGCAGTATAAGTGCTTGTTGTAGTAAATCCACATCAATCAGTTGTGGTAGTCCAAGCATGACAAGCTCAATCAGTGGAAGCAGCTCAGACAGCATACTTGTATCATGTAGTTCCTCTGGAATTATAAGTAGCATTGTTTCAAGCAGTTCTATGTCGAGTAGCCTGAGCATTGTATCCAGTTCCGACACAAGTTCCAATTGCGTTAGTTCATCTCCAAGACTTGAAAGTAGCTCCTTGTCAGGAAGTAAATCTGTTCGAGCAGTTCTGTATCAAGTTTAATCAGTCTCAGTAAATCAAGTAGTACAATGATATCAAGTAGCTGTTCAGGCAGTGGAAGTGATATTGGTTCCAGCAGCTCTGAGTCAAGTAGCCAGAGTAGTTCGAGTTCTGTCAAATCAGTTTCAAGAAGTGAATTTGGCTCATGTAGTTCATGTTCAAGCAGTATAAGTGCTTGTTGTAGTGAATCCTTATCAATCAGTTGTGGAAGTCCAAGCATGACAAGCTCAGTCAGTAGAAGCAGCTCAGACAGTATACTGGTATCTTGTAGTTCTTCTGGAATCATAAGTAGTGTTGCTTCTAGTACTACAATGATATCAAGTAGCTGTTCAGGCAGTGGAAGTGATATTGTTTCCAGTAGCTCTGAGTCAAGTAGCCAGAGCAGTTTGAGTTCTGTTACATCAGTTTCAAGAAGTGAATCTGGCTCAAGTAGCTCGTGTTCAAGCAGTATAAGTGCTTGTAGTAAATCTACATCAAGCAGTCATGGTAGTCCAAGCATGACAAGCTCAATCAGTGGAAGCAGCTCAGACAGCATACTGGTATCATGTAGTTCCTCTGGAATTATAAGTAGTTTTGTTTCAAGCAGTTCTATGTCGAGTAGCCTGAGCACTGTATCTAGTTTAGCCAAAAGTTCCAGTTGCGTTAGTTCATCTTCAAGACTTGAAAGCAGCTCTTTCTCAGGAAGTGAATCTGTTCCGAGCAGTTCTGTGTCAAGCTTAATCAATTTCAGTAAGTCAAGTAGTACATTGATATCAAGTAGCTGTTCAGGCAGTGGAAGTGATATTCCTTCTAGCAGCTTTTTGTCAAGTAGCCAGAGCAGTTTGAGTTCAGTTTCAAGAAGTGAATTTGGTTCAAGCAGTTCATGTTCAATAAGTATCAGTAAACCAATATCAAGTAGCCATGGCAGTCCAAGCATTGCAAGTTCAAGTGAATCTTGCGCTGTTTATAGTCAAATTAGTTCTTCCTCAAGCATATCTTCAGAAAGTATCAGAAAACCCATCTCAAGCAGTTCCAGTTCACGTGGCAGTATAATAGTGTGTATTAGCCATATGTCAAGCAGTCAAAGTAGTTCAGGGTCATTCAGTTCTTCAACCAGCAACCTAAAATCAACTAAATCTGCTTCCTCTCAGAGTAGCAGCTCACTCTCGAGTAGATATAGAATACCTAGTTCCATATATAGTCCCTGTAGCTGTAGCAGTGCCATGGTATCATCAAGTAGTTGTGGTGTATGCAGCTTTACTTCAGGGACTCCGTGCAGCATCACCTCAAGATCAAACTGTTACTCAGATTCAAGCAGCTTAGGGCATTCAGAATTTAGCAGTGTATGCAGCTCACCGAACTCCCTGTGTTCAAGTATGCAGAGTAGTTACAGCTCACAAAGTTCTGTTTCAAAAAGTAGTTACAGATCCATAGTTCCAAGTTCAAGTTCAAGTATCCCAAGTTCCTGTAGTAGTAAGTAATAGTACGACAGATTTATTTTTTCACGAGAATTCTTTCAGCACCGACTTGAAATATCTTGAAATCTGGTTAATACTTTATTATCAAACTAAGCTAAACTCAGTGTGTAAATGTAGTTCACGTCTACTCTCCAGTGGCAGCACAAGTTAGCTAATTAGCTTATGGTTGGTGTGATTGTCTTCACCTCACTTCCAAATTTTAAAATACGTTTTAAATACATTGATTAACTCAGATGTTTTGGTTAATATATATATATATATATATATATATATATATATATATATATATATATATATATATATATATATATATAAATGACAATAAAAAATAATAGTAAATATCACTTGTATCTAGGTGACACATTTCCATACTAGCAAAGAATCACTTGTGTAATTCAACTACTGATAACGATTATACTAAGGGCAATGGAAACATAAAGGAAGAGGGGCATGCAATACTAAACAACAGAGGTGTTATTTGGGATTTAGACCTATGGATAACTCTAACGCTGATAAATATAATCTTGGATATGCATGAAAAGAATTTAATGGCGTTACAATCATAATTATGTTAATGATATATATCCTTATGATAAATGTTCATATGATTATTATTATGATAAGTGACAACAAAAACATATGCACTTCTTGTAACTCACGTGTATGCACAATATATGAGAATCATGATCATGAAATTTATAAACAATTATTTTTAAATTCATTCTTGGTTATAATAATACAGAAAATAACATAAGACAATCATAATAATAATCATCATGCTAATGATAATAATAATGATAATAATAGTGATAATTAAGATAATGGTAATAATAATGATAATGATTATTATAAATAATGATACTAACAATTGCAAACACAGGTCATAAATCAAATATGGTAACATATCTAATATAATTTACTATAAACCATAATTTTTTCTCCCTTTCTTCAGGAATGAAATACTCTAATGTCTTTTCTCTTCAACACTACCTTTTTATCTTGAGTTGGCATAACGATTTCATATTGTCTGCACATTGTATAGATACCTTTATAATGATCTGTTCATGTAATAATTGATTTCATGTTAATTTACGAGCTTACCCACACATTTAACAGCAGGATTCAGTTCACTGGCAAAAATGTTAATAATAATAATAATAAATCAACATTTGATAACTGGTTGTACAAAATTTTCCAATAGTTAACAACAAATATTTTATGTGTATTTCAGGTGCTATTAGTAAGTATCCCAAACTTCTAACGTGAGTATTAGGATCAGTAAAGAGGTAAGTGTAGGATCTAATAAACACAAGCAGAAAATAGTCACATACATACATGCATGTATTTAAGCACACATTCAGACATATACATAAAAGGCACAAGTTTAGGTTCCTTGTGTTATAAAACAACACCTTCAGCTGACAGACTGGTACAGGTAAAGTAAATGAGTTCTTCTTATATGGACACTATTTTTTCCTTTTCATCCTTTCACTTTTTTTCTGATTTTGTACAAAAGTCATGGATAGTAATTTTATATATATTTGAAATTTACTACATGAAAGTTGCAGCAAGGAAGATAAAAAATATTTTTTAAAACCTAACATTTTCTTATACGGATACAACATGGAAGGTACATTAATTCAAACAGTCTGGTTCTCAGTTTGCTTATGTTGGAGTCAGTGCTAATTATTAATCACTCCTCTCTGTTACATCTTAAACTTGACTGTATAAGGTAAAGAAAAAAAAAATCAGTTTTGTACATCTTCAATTTGTTTGTTAAAGAAAAATCTGTTTTGTAATATTGCACTTGTTACGGTCTTCAACTTTTGCAACTTTTTTTTTTTTTTTCACTTTTCCCATTCTTTTTCAAGGTATAACAAGCATCGAGCACACATTTTAAAACCAAATTTATCTTATAGGTTCAAGCTGTTCAAGTTCTAGTTCTAGTAGTTCAAGCTCAAGCTCTAGTAGTTCAAGTTCAATCTCCAGCAGCTTAAGTTCGAGTTCTAGTAGTTCAAGCTCAAGTTCCAGCTCCAGTAAGTACAAAAATAAACCAAAAGACTATATTGATAGAAAGTTATCATATCGTATTTAAATCTTTGTATTCGCCTTTCTTTTTAGATATATCACTAAAAAAAAAAAAAGACACAAATGAAACTGATTATAGAAAACAGATTCAGTGAAGCGCATTTGTGATAATATATTGTTTCTAATAACTAATATTACAGCAGTTCGAAACCGTGCTGTAAGTACGTAGAAAATACAATTCTTATTCATATGTCTGCATGTTCGCATGTGTTCCTTTCTTTCCATGGGTTGGTAATCTCTTATTTTAGAAATATCCAGTGTTGTGTTCCGTGACTGAATTGTTTATTTCTAGGTTCAAGTAGTTCAAGCTCAAGTTCTAGTAGTTCCAGTTCGAGCTCCAGTAGTTCAAGTAGCTCAAGTTCAAGTTCCAGTAGTTCAAGTAGCTCCAGTTCAAGTTCCAGTTCCAGTAGTTCAAGTAGCTCAAGTTCAAGTTCAAGTTCCAGCTCTAGCAGTAAGTAGAAAATATATTCATACTTGAATCCAGAAAATATATATCTAAAAATATGATATATATATTTATATATATATATATATATTATTATATATATATGTTCAAATTCTTCAGAAACGAATGGTTTATTATATTTCAATATCAGTCCTATCACTGATAACTGAAAAAAGTATCTCAGGAGTGAGCTGTAATTATAGATATTGATGTATATCACACAAGATTGCAGAATTATCCATTTATCCTTGTTTGATATGCAACTATCAAATGTATTATAGATTACTAAAAATTTTCCCTAGGCTCAAGTAGTTCAAGTTCAAGCTCTAGCAGCTCAAGTTCAAGCTCTAGCAGCTCAAGTTCAAGTTCAAGCTCCAGTAGTTCAAGTTCAAGCTCTAGCAGCAAGGCAAGCTCAAGTTCAAGCTCCAGTAGTTCAAGTTCAAGCTCCAGTAGTTCAAGTTCAAGTTCTAGCAGTAAGTACTGAAAACGAAGTAAATTGAGATATTCCATGTTATACTTGACAACTGCAATGATCAAGCCATGTATCACTCATACATGTGAGATATTAAACATTATTTCACAATGATCCTCAGATATTCAGCCAATATTGCATTCTATAGCTCTATTGATATCTACTGTATTTGTTTTTTTTTCTTTTTAACATGATTTACTTGATACTTTCAAGGATTAATCTAATTTTCAATTTTGAACAAACTACCAGGGTGGTTTCCTTATTTCAAAAATCTTTGTATATGATTCCAATGATTTCATCAGTTGCAGAAACATGTTTACTTCATATAATACCCACATTTTTCTTTAGGTTCAAGTTCAAGTTCAAGCAGCTCTAGCTCAAGTTCAAGTTCAAGCAGCTCTAGCTCAAGTTCAAGTTCAAGCAGCTCTAGCTCAAGTTCGAGTAGTTCAAGTTCAAGTAGTTCAAGTTCGAGTTCAAGTAGCTCTAGCTCAAGTTCAAGTAGCTCAAGTTCGAGTTCAAGCAGTAAGTAGCAGCAAATATTATCACTAATTTTTAGACCATTGAAGTTATGTACAAGATGTGAAGCAAAAACTGAGTTTATTGATATTGTCAATTTTGCTGGATCATAATGAATCTGTTACCACTGTCATCATTAACACTAAATCCGTACTAAGATTGTATTATTCATTCATAGAAGTGTATGAATTTATTTTTTGCATATGTGTATGTATCTATGTATATGTGTGTATGAATATGTTTACTTCTTTGTGGCGACTGATATAGCAGTCTCCTGAAAGATGGTATTATTCTAGTATTTCTAGTGACTGTCCCTGTAGTTTAAAATCTGGTAGTTCCAGCTCAAACGGCCATACCATTGCACCAATATTCACAGGGATAAATCATATATCATTCTGTGGTGTATATCATTGAAATGCATAAGAAATATTTACTTATTCATCTTTGTGCTAAGAATGTGTATATGGAAGATCGTTTTATCATGCATCTGATTTCAAGGCTCTGATAAGATCCATTTTGTTTTTATTTTATTGAAATTGTACTTTTGCGTTTACTTACGAGAGCAAATTCTTAATTTCTTTTCTTCACCTTCAACTATGTTAAGGCTGAATTTATTTTACAGGTTCAAGTAGTTCAAGTTCCAGTAGTTCAAGTAGCTCAAGTTCTAGTAGCTCAAGTAGCTCAAGCAGTTCAAGCTCTAGTAGTTCAAGTTCAAGCTCAAGCTCGAGCAGTAAGTAGTACAAAATAACATTTTCTCTTTTTCAGTTCCTCTCTTTCCTTTTAAGGTGCATGGAAATCACCAGAAACTGACGGTAAAAATGATAGTAACGAACCATTCACAGTATGAACACAGGAATTTATTGATTTTCTTTCAATCAGCAAATATTTACACGTAAAACTAGAATAGTGGATGCTAATGCTTAAACAAACCAAGCAAGTTATAAGAAGAAAATGTATATAATATATTTTTTTCTTTAGTTATTCCTTCCCCATACAGAAAGAAAGACTTATAATTGCTGTACTCATAGGTTCAAGCTCAAGTTCAAGTAGCTCTATCTCCAGCTCAAGTTGTTCTAGCTCAAGTTCAAGCTCTAGTAGCTCCAGTTCAAGTTCTAGTAGTTCAAGCTCAAGCTCAAGCTCAAGTATTTCCAGTTCAAGCTCAAGTAGTTCCAGCTCAAGCAGTAAGTTTATTTGTTCCATTCCCTCTCAGTCGGTCAGAAAAAGCAACTGAAGATAATGAAGACTTTGTAAAGTATTGCTAGGTAATCAGTAAACAAATGCGCAGTGGACCTAGCAGTAGTAAAACCATGGAAACTACTGAGTGACTTTTATATAAGGAAATATAAAATATTTATAGCATTTATAGGCCCAAGTTCCATTTCAGACTCAGGCTCTAGTAATTCAAGTTGAAACTATAGTAGTTCAAGTTATAATTCAAGCCATTCATGCTCTTATAGTTCCAGCTCCAGTTATAGCTGTATCTGTACCTACTGACCATATATTATACCATGATCTTTCTCATAGAAGACATATTAACTCTTTACTTTAATTCTTAAAGTAAATCAACAAACTCAATCCCTATATAGCATTTGCCTTCCGAACTAGGAGAAAATAGTTTAATCAAAAAGATAATTTTTTATAACTAGTAGTTCCAGCTTGAGATGCTTAAGCTTTACCAGTGTGGTCTAATGGAGACAAGGAGAATAAAGTATCATATAGATAATTTCCCATTTGTTCATCTCTTGTCTCCCACATAAACAAGTTGAATTCCAAAGTTCTGCAATTCAGCTTTGTGTATATATATATATATAAAAAAAATATATATATTTAAGATATAATCTACTTATTCATAGGCTCAAGCTCCAGCTCTAGTTCAAGCTCTAGTAGCTCAAGCTCTAGCAGTTCCAGTTCATGTAGTTCAAGTTCAAGCTCTAGCAGTTCGAGTTCTAGCAGTTCCAGTTCAAGTAGTTCAAGCTCAAGCTCTAGCAGTTCAAGTAGTTCAAGTTCAAGCTCTAGCAGTTCGAGTTCAAGTAGTTCAAGTTCAAGCTCTAGCAGTTCGAGTTCAAGTAGTTCGAGTTCTAGCAGTTCCAGTTCAAGTAGTTCAAGTTCAAGCTCTAGCAGCTCCAGCTCAAGCAGTTCAAGTTCGAGCAGTAAGTAATCTAAGACAATGCTCCTTGCTACAACTTATCTTTTTTTTCCTTTTTTCTTTTTTTATGGAGAATTTTATTTTTCAAATTAATTACCAAGGTAAGAACCCCATTTCCAAGGAAACAGTTGTATGGAAAAACAGTTTCCAGAAATGTCAAACTGGAAATTACCAACAATTTGGCCCTTTTATTTGGTTTGGTATTTTTTCTTGGCCTGCCCTTTTTTATAAGGAAAGATTGCAGCTCAAGCTGCAGTACCTCCATTAGCATAACTATAATGATAATGTGCATATTCCTAGTTCAAGTAATTCAAGTTCAAGCTCTATTAGCAGTTCTAGTTTCAAACATTTCAAGCTCTAGTAGCCTAAGTTCAAGTAGTTAAAGTTTAAGCTGCTCTTGTTCCAGTATCTCAAGTTCAAGTAGTCCCGTTCAAGCTCTAGTAGCTGTTCCTTTCTAGATAAGTGTACCGTATCTCAGTTTCCTTATTTCCTTTTCAGGAAACATATTTTTCAGTATTGAAATGAAAACATATTCTTCCTACTTCATTCAGGATTACCTATCACTAGCTTGGTTCATGTATTACAACCCGTTTTTGTAACCTATAAAGACTATTCTTTGAATGTTTTAGAAATGAGTTGCATGCCTCCTTTCATAATTTACCTTTTCATGTGAACAAAAATATAGACAAGAAAATGTAATGGAAGTAATTTGTTTACTACTCTTTACATATGGAAAGAGAGAAAAAATGATTATGATCTATATATTGTAGGCCCTAGTTCAAGTTCAAGCAGTTCCAGTTCAAGCAGTAGCTCAAGTATTTCAAGCTCTTGTAGCTCCAGTTCAAGCTCAAGTAGCTCAAGCTCAAGCTGTTCAAGTTCTAGCAGTAAGTCAGCACCTGACCTGGACAATGTTCTTTACTTCATGTATTCTGTAAAAACAGGATTTGTTTTCTATCATTTTGAAAATGTGTCCTTTGATCATTTTGTTTGTAAATTAGAAAGCTTGACTTTCTACTATTTTTCCTTTCACTAGAAGTATCTTCCTAATGGTTTCTGTATAATGAATTATGATACTTGAAGTTCCAAACCAGCCATTTTTCTTGTATTGGATCTGTATTGGATCAGGTTCAATAATCAGTTGAATTATTTAAATGTTTTAGTGGAGTATAAGCATAGATACACTTTCATGAAACAGCAATTACACAAATCAAATTGAAAGCAAAAACTTTCAATGTATTGCGAGGACAAAACATTCATATAAAAGGGATTATCCTAAAAAACATTTCACTTTAGTAGCAGCATATCTGTTGATGGTGAAACTGTTTTTTCCTAAACAGAAACACCGTAATATAATATTCTAAATATTGGTTATCTCTCACGGCAACACAAGGAATGCCATTATCTGTGTTTATAGGTTCAAAATGCAGCTCAAGCAGTTCAAGCTCTAGTAGTTCAAGCACTTCAAGCTCTAGTAGTTCAAGCAGTTCAAGCTCTAGTAGTTCAAGCAGCTCAAGTAGTTCAAGCTCTAGTGGTTCAATCAGTTCAAGCTCTAGTAGTTCAGTCAGTTCAAGCTCTAGTAGTTCAAGCAGCTCAAGCTCAAGCAGTTCCAGTTCTAGTAGCTCCAGTTCGATCAGTAAGTCTGAACAGCTGAATTTTCATTTCCATTAATAGTACCATTTTAGTTTAAGTTCAAATAGCTTTCATAGTCCTAGTTGAAAACGTTCAAGTGCTAGTGGCTCAGGTTCTGTTTCAGTAGGGTCTCTTTAGGGTCAAGTTCAAGTAGTTCTAATTTCAGAAACTGAAGCTCTAGTAACTCAGATAACAAACAGTATAAGAGAACACATTTGTTGCAGTTGCACTGCTTCATCTTAATACTTCTTCGTTTCCATGTCTGTTTTATTCTTTACAAGAAGCATAACAGACAAAAGATGAAAAGTTATTCAGAAGCACCATATTCTTAGGTTCAAGTTCTTGTTCAAGTTCAAGCACTTTCAGTTCAAAAAGCTCAAGTTCATGCTCTCGTACATCCAGCTCAAACAGTTCAAGTTCTAGCAGTAAGTCTCAACTTGATAAGGATATTAGGTATTCCCAAGTCTACTGATTTATTTGCAGGCCTGATAATTTTAGTTATGTTATAAAGTTATTTGTGTAAATAGTTCATTTCCAGTTGTTCAAGCTCAGTAGCTCAAGCTCAAGTTCTAGTAGCTTCAGTTTAAGCTCCAGTTTCTCTAGCTCAAGCAGTCTGCTAGTTGATTTTGCAATTATCATAATTTACATTTTAAATGACTTTCAGAGAGGATATCTACTGCTTTGTTGCTGGAGAAATAACTACAAACATTTTATCATTTAAATATCATCCTTATTTTAATTTTTTTTAGTGCGGGGGGGGGGCTTCTAATGATGGAACTCCGGTTCTAGCAGTGAGTCTTCACAAGCTGAGCTCTTGTATTTCAATGTGACCTCTCCTCTATGTTGAAAACTTAGTTCTGGAAAGCTTATTGTTATGATAGAAACAGCAGTCTTCTCGAATAGTCATATATTTTTTTTTTCACATTTATAATGAGACAATTGTTATTTATTATCTGCATGTTATTAGGTTTAGACTCTTTTTCCAGTTCAGGTAGTTCTAGTTCAAGCAGCTTTATCTGTAGTAGCTCAAGTTCAAGTAATTGCAGTTTTGGTAGCTGGAGCCTAAGTAACTTCAAGTTCTAGTATTTATATCCTTGCTGTAAGTCTTTCTCATCAGTAAACCAAAAAGCCTATTGAACACATAAGAGAAACTGTTGATGTTCCAAAAGTGATTTCTTAAGATTTCTCTTGTATCTGACTCATACTCTCCTACCTTCATAAAATATATATATATATATTATATATATATATATATATATATATATATATATAGTGACAAAAAGATTGAAAATAATACTTAATCAATATATTCATAGGTTCAAGTTCAAGCAATTCAAGTTCCAGTAGTTCTAGTTTAAGCAGCTCTAGCTCAAGTTGTTCAAGTTCAAGCAGTTCCAGCTCCAGTGCCTCAAGATCAAGCATTTCTAGTTCTAGTAGCTCAAGCTCAAGTTCTAGTAGCTCAAGCTTAAGTTCTAGTGCATCAAGCTTAAGCAGTTCATGTTCTAGCAGCTTAAGCTCAAGTTGTTCCAGCTTTAGTAGTTCAAGCTCAAGTTCTAGTAGATCCAGTTCAAGCAGTTCAAGTTCCAGTTGTAAGTCTGGACTTGCTAAGACAAGAATCTATCCTTGAGTCTCTTATTTTCCAGTTTGATTATCATTCTAAAAGTTGTACATTATTCACATACTACTTAAACATGTCACCATTCCAGACATATCAAACTAGCAGTTCATTTTTATTTCCTTCGGTGATTCAGAGAAAACTGTTAGCTATACCTTTTCACAGGTTGAATCTCGTGTAATTTTGAGCAGTTCAAGTAGTTCAGGTACTAGATGCTTTAGTTCTAGTAGTTATAGTTCAAGCAGCCAGTCTTTGCAATCTAAAGTCATATATTTCAATCAAACTTTCTCCAATCTTTTTAGGAAGCAGGTTTCTTATCACAGACTATTACTATGAAAAAGGTCTTCAAGGCATAACTGCATTCTCTTAATTGTTGATTCTTTTTTTTTTTTTTTTTTTTTTACCCTTTACAAAAATGATAAATGATGAAAGAAAACTGTTTACATTCAACAAAGGGTCAAATTCAAGTTCAGGTAGTTGAAGGTCAAGTAGTTCTAGTTCAAGCAGCTTATGTCTAACAGGCAGTTCCAACTCAAATTTAAGTAGTTGCAGTTCAAGTTCTAGATGCTCTAGTGCAAGCAGTTCTTATAGCAAGTCTAGACATGGAAAAACCATGTGTTATCCCTAAATATTAGGCTCTAATTCAAGTCCAATTATTTAAAAACTCTTGTATTTCAAGAACAAAGTCTACTACCTCCACTTCAAGTTGTAAGACTTGCAGCCTAGTTTCTCTCATTTTTGCAGGTGCTTGATATCCAAAACCCCAAAAGACTATTCTTACAGTAGATCCTATTCGATGTAACAACACTGATCTTATGATTCTTCTACCAATTTGTCTTTACAAAAACAGAAAAGACAAAATGAAAAGTTACATATTCTATACATTTTTAGGTTCAAGCTATATTCCAAGCTTAAGCAGTTCAAAATCTAGTAGATTGAGTTCAAGCAGTTCCAGCTCTAGTAGCTCAAGCTCAAGTAGCTACAGTTCAAACTGTTTTATTAGTAAGTTTAGACTTGCTAAGGGCATACATTATCCTGGAGTCCTGGAGGCAGATATATCAAAATGCGTTTTATTCATTTTTTTTTTCTCCTTCAGTAATTCAGAGAAAACTGTTTGCTATAAATCTTGTTCATAGGTCCAAGCTCCAGTTCAAGTTCAAGTAGGTCAAGTAGCTCTAGTTCATGTTCAAGCTTAAGTAGTTCAAGTGATTCAAATTCTAGCAGCTCAAGTTCAAGCTGTAAGTCTGTGCAAGCTAAGGCTATACATTGAAATAATCTTTGTTTACTTTTGTAGGATATGTACTGTTACAATAGAATCTCTTTTCTTATGTGTATGATTTTAACTACCATTACAAAATTATATGGCAAAACATTGATTTTTCTTTTTTTCAAATTTGTATATTCTTAGGTTCAAGCTCTAGTTCAAGCTCATGCAGCTCAAGTTCAAGCAGTTCAAGTTCCAGTAGCTCAAGCAGTGCAAGTTCTAGTAGCTCAAGTAGTTCAAGTTCCAGTAGCTCAAGCTCAAGCAGTTCAAGTTCTAGTAGCTCAAGCTCAAGCAGTTCAAGTTCTAGTAGCTCAAGCTCAAGCAGTTCAAGTTCTAGTAGCTCAAGCTCAAGCAGTTCAAGGTAGCTCAAGCTCAAGCAGTTCAAGTTCTAGTAGCTCAAGCTCAAGCAGTTCAAGTTCTAGTAGCTCAAGCTCAAGCAGTTCAAGTTCTAGTAGCTCAAGCAGTTCAAGTTGTAGTAGCTCAAGCTCAAGCTCAGCTCAAAAGCAGTTCTAGTAGTCAAGCAGTTCAAGTTGTAGTAGCTCAAGCTCAAGCAGTTCAAGTTCTAGTAGCTCAAGCTCAAGCAGTTCAAGTTCAAGCTGTAAGTCTGGACTTTCTGTGGTCAAATAATATCCAAATGTATCTCATTTTCTGTGCATGGACTGTAATTTTCATTCTGAAATTATCATATTCTTAAAAAGAATGTACCATCATCTTACTTCCGTCATCACTGCAAGATGTTAGATTTTTTTCTTCATTTGAAGGAAGCATATTTACTGTTAGTAGCCCAGGACTTTAGTTGTATTAGACCTTTTGAATTTCTTAGTTATTAAAAGTTATATATAATCTACATACTCAAAAGTTCTAGTTCAACTTAAAGTAGTTCATGTTCAAGCAGCTCCATTTCAGATAGTTACACCCGAAGCAATTCACTGAAAGAAGTAAGTCTGGACCTGCCAAGACCAGATAAGATTAATATATCTTATTTTTCACAGAAGAGGCACAGTTTTTATTACAAAAAATGCATATTGTACAAAGTGTGCTATTTCCTTTGCAGGAAGGATACTGTCACTCTAAAAGTAGCATATGCTGAACTATAGTTTTGTTTTCATCTTATACTTTTCCTCATTAGAGCAAAGGAAACTTTTTATTCATACTGTTTCAGGTTCAAATAGCTTTAGCCTCAGTAGTTCAAGTTCAGTCAGTTCAACCTTAAGCAAATTCACTTCTACTAGTTCTAGCTTTAGTTAAAGTAGCACAATTTCAGGTCAAGATCTAGCACAGACTGGATTTTTTTAGTTTTATTATCTTTACAGGAAGCATGATTTTACTTCTGAAAATAGCATACCCTTCCAAGAAGCTACTATTATTTTATTTCAGTTACCATTTAACAGTTGTATTCTTTTCTCTATTCTTCACTCATATGAACAAACCTGTTACATATATCTTTTCACTAATTCACAAGCTTTAGTTCAAGGACCTCTAAGTGATCCAACAATATTGCTGTACAGATTAATTTTGTACTCGGAAACCCGATCTTATGCTTGCATTTTGCTTTCTTTTATTTTAAATTTTCTATAAGCAGAAACCTGAATAATAAAAGGTTGAAAAATAATTAAACTCTATATACATAGGTTCAAGCTCTAGTTCAAGTTCAAGTAGCTCAAGCTCAATCTCTAGTAGCTCCAGCCCAAGTTCTAGTAGCTCTAGTTCAAGTTCAAGCAGTTCAAATAGCTCAAGTTCAAGCAGTTCAAGTAGCTCAAGTTCAAGCAGTTCAAGTTCATGCAGTTCAAGCTCTAGTAGTTCAAGCAGTTCAAGTAGTAAGTTTTAGCAAGCTTAGGCTTTTTGGATGCATATTTTTAGTAGTATCCCAAGCAGAATACTGTGAAGGTGCAATATTTTTTTTATTCATTTTTTTCTGTGTATCATTATTCTTCACTGCAGAAATTTGGATGATAAAAAGTTAATCATAATCTATATACTTAGGTTCAAGCTCCAGTTCAAGCAGTTCTACTTCTTGTAGCTCTAGCTCCAGCTCAAGTAGCTCAAGCTCAAGTTCAAGTAGTTCATGCTCTAGTAGCTCCAGCTCAAGTTCAAGCTCTAGTAGCTCCAGCTATAGTTCAAGTAGCTCAGCTCAAGCTCTAGTTCAAGTAGCTCAAGTAGTCAAGCTCAAGCAGCTCAAGCTCTAGTAGCTCCAGCTCAAGTTCAAAGCTCAAAGCTTAGCTCAAAGCTCAAAGTTCAAGCAGCTCAAGCTCTAGCTTCAAGCAGCTCAAGCTCTAGTTCAGTAGCTCAAGTTCAGTTCAGCAGCTCTAGCTCAAGTCAGCTCAAGTTCAAGTTCAAGTAGCTCAAGCTCTAGTTCAAGTAGCTCAGCTCAAGTTCAAGCAGCTCAAGCTCTAGTTCAAGCTCAAGCAAGTTCAAGTAGCTAGCTCAGCTCAGCTCTAGTTCAAGTAGCTCAAGCTCAAGTTCAAGCAGCTCAAGCTCTAGTAGTTCAGCTCAAGTTCAAGTAGCTCAAGCTCAAGTTCAAGCAGCTCAAGCTCTAGTTCAAGCAGCTCAAGCTCTAGTAGCTCCAGCTCTTCAAGTAGCTCAAGCTCTAGTTCAAGCAGCTCAAGCTCTAGTTCAGCTCAAGTTCAGCTCAAGCTCTAGTTCAAGTAGCTCAAGCTCTAGTTCAAGTAGCTCAAGCTCTAGTTCAAGTAGCTCAAAGTTCAGCTCAGCTCTCAAGTAGCTCAAGCTCTAGTTCAAGTAGCTCAAGTTCAAGTAGCTCCAGCTCTCAGTAGCTCAAGCTCTAGTTCAAGCAGCTCTCAAGTAAGCTCTAGTTCAAGCAGCTCAAGCTCTAGTTCAAGCAGCTCAAGCTCTAGTTCAAGCAGCTCAAGCTCTAGTTCAAGTAGCTCAAGCTCTAGTTTAGCTCTAGTTCAAGTAGCTCAAGCTCTAGTTCAAGTAGCTCAAGCTCTAGTTCAAGTAGCTCAAGCTCAAGTTCAAGCAGCTCAAGCTCTAGTAGCTCAAGCTCTAGTTCAAGCAGCTCAAGCTCTAGTAGCTTCAGCTCAAGCTCTAGTTCAAGTAGCTCAAGCTCAAGTTCAAGTAGCTCAAGCTCTAGTTCAAGTAGCTCAAGCTCAAGTTCAAGCAGCTCAAGCTCTAGTTCAAGTAGCTCAAGTTCAAGCAGCTCAAGCTCTAGTAGCTTCAGCTCAAGTTCAAGTAGCTCAAGCTCTAGTTCAAGCAGCTCAAGCTCTAGTAGCTTCAGCTCCAGCTCTAGTTCAAGTAGCTCAAGCTCTAGTTCAAGCAGCTCAAGCTCTAGTAGCTCAGCTCAAGTTCAAGCAGCTCAAGCTCTAGTTCAAGTAGCTCAAAGCTCTAGTTCAAGTAGCTCAAGCTCTAGTTCAAGTAGCTCAAGCTCTAGTTCAAGCAGCTCAAGCTCTCAAGCAGCTCAAGCTCTAGTTCAAGCAGCTCAAGTTCTAGTAGCTCCAGCTCAAGCTCTAGTAGCTCCAACTCAAGCTCTAGTAGCTCCAGCTCAAGTAGCTCAAGCTTTAGTAGCTCCAGCTCAAGTAGCTCAAGCTCTAGTTCAAGCAGCTCAAGCTCAAGTAGCTCAAGCTCTAGTTCAAGCTCAAGTTAGCTCAAGCTCTAGTTCAAGTAGCTCAAGTTCAAGCAGCTCAAGCTCTAGTTCTCAAGCTCAAGTAGCTCCAGCTCAAGTAGCTCAAGCTCTAGTTCAAGTAGCTCAAGTTCAAGCAGCTCAAGCTCTAGTAGCTCCTGCTCAAGCAGCTCAAGCTCTAGTTCAAGCAGCTCAAGCTCAAGTAGCTCAAGCTCTAGTTCAAGTAGCTCAAGTTCAAGCAGCTCAAGCTCTAGTTCAAGTAGCTCAAGTTCAAGCAGCTCAAGCTCTAGTTCAAGCAGCTCAAGCTCTAGTAGCTCTAGCTCAAGTAGCTCAAGCTCTAGTTCAAGTAGCTCAAGTTCGAGCAGCTCAAGCTCTAGTAGCTCCTGCTCAAGCAGCTCAAGCTCTAGTTCAAGTAGCTCAAGTTCAAGCAGCTCAAGCTCTAGTTCAAGTAGCTCAAGTTCAAGTAGCTCAATTAGCTCAAACTCATGCAGCTCCAGCTCTAGTAGCTCTAGTTCAAGCAGTTCAAGTTCTAGCAGTAAGTCTGTATCTACTAGGGACACATTTATGTCTACCCTTTTCTTTGCAGAAAGCATGATTTTAATTCTATAAAATTTTAAACATATCTTTCAAAGATATTTCCATTGATTAAGCCCAGTCATCATTTTAAACAGTAACCGTTTATTGTTTGTTCTTCATTTAAACAAAGAAAACTGTTAGTTTTATCATTTTTTCATAGGTTCAAGTTCAAGCAGTTCAAGTAGCTCAAGTTCAAGCAGTTCAAGTAGTTCAAGCTCTAGTAGTTCAAGCAGTTCAAGTTGTTCCAGCTCAAGCAGTAAGTTATAGCAAGCTTAGGGTTTTTGGATGCATATATTTTAGTTGGAACTCAAACAGAATACTTTGAAGGTGCAATATTTTTTTTTCATTCACATGTTTTTCTTTGTATCATTATTCACTGCAGAAATTTGAATAATAATAGGAAGTTAATTATAATATATATACTTAGGTTCAAGCTCCAGCACAAGTAGCTCAAGCTCAAGTTCAAGTAGCTCAAGCTCAAGTTCAAGTAGCTCGAGCTCAAGTTCAAGTAGCTCAACTTCAAGTTCAAGTAGCTCAAGCTCTAGTAGCTCCAGCTCAAGTTCAAGCAGCTCAAGCTCTAGTAGCTCCAGCTCAAGTTCAAGCAGCTCAAGCTCTAGTAGCTCCAGCTCAAGTAGCTCAAGCTTAGTAGCTCAGCTCAAGTTCAAGTAGCTCCAGCTCAAGCTCTAGTAGCTCCAGCTCAAGTTCAAGCAGCTCAAGCTCTAGTAGCTCCAGTCAAGTAGCTCCAGCTCAAGTTCAAGTAGCTCCAGCTCAAGTTCAAGTAGCTCCAGCTCAAGTTCAAGTAGCTCTAGCTCAAGTTCAAGTAGCTCAAGCTCAAGTTCAAGTAGCTCAAGCTCTAGTAGCTCCAGCTCAAGTTCAAGTAGCTCAAGCTCTAGTTCTAGCAGTAAGTCTTGACTTGCTAGGAAAGTACATTATCTCCCTTTCTTCAGGAATGATGAATCTAAATATTGCATACCCTTCAGAAAGATCAGTTACCTTTATATACACTTTATTGTTTTATCTTTACTTAAGAAGAGAGACCTGTTAGTTCAAGTAGCTCAAGCTCAATCAGTAAGCCTTTGTAAGCTTAGGCATTTTTGAATGCAGTAACCCTAAAAGAATACTCTGAAGGTGTAATGATTTTGCTTTTTGCCAGTATTTCTCTCTGCAGAGATTTGAATGATGATCGTAAATCATAATATGAATCTATGCAAGTTAAGACTTGGTTTTCTCTTCTCTTTTTGGTTGTATAATCATCATCAGAAAGTCAAGACTACTCTGAATGTATAATGTGTTCAGTGTAATGATGATGCTTCTTCTTGCATACATTTTCTTTTCTTTTATCATTATTATTCCCACTGCATGTGATTAGTAGAAGACAGAAAGATAATCACATTCTATACAAAAATAGCCTCAGGCTCTAGTGTTACAACCTTTTATAGGTTCATGTTCAAGCAGTTCAAGTAGCTCCAGCTCCAGCTCTAGTAGTTCAAGCTCAAGTTCTAGTCTGGATCAGCTATGACTACATATCCCCATCTCCTATATCATTTGTGGAAACCTAATTTTTATTTTAGATAAGTTCCAAGAACCTACCATCTTTTTACCTTAATATGTTCCCTTTTTTTACTTAAGCAAAAAACTATAACTTCTTTTCATAGGTTCAAGTTCCAGTTCAAGTAGTTCAAGCTCAAGCAGTTCAAGTTCTAGTTCAAGCAGTAAGTTCTCATAAGCCAAGGCAATTTATAACAGCCATGTAATCTTTGCTCATTGTGGGTGTATAATCTTTTTTCAGTAACTCAGTGAGTGCTGTGAAGATAGACACTTCAGTGCAATTACGATGATTTTTACGTTTGTATCATTTCTCACTGCATAATCAAGAATGATAAATGATAGGAAATTAATCATGTGCTTTATACACATAGGTTCAAGCTCTAGTTCAAGTTCAAGCAGTTCCAGTTCCAGTTCAAGTTCAAGCAGTTCCAGTTCTAGTAGCTCAAGTTCATGTAGCTCCAGCTCAAGCTCTAGTAGTTCCAGTTCAAGCAGTTCAAGTTCTAGTAGCTCAAGCTCAAGTAGCTGCAGTTCTAGTAGTTCCAGCTCTAGCTCTAGTAGTTCCAGTTCAAGCAGTTCAAGTTCTAGTAGCTCAAGCTCAAGTTCTAGTAGTTCAAGCTCAAGTTCTAGTAGTTCAAGCTCAAGCAGTTCAAGTTCTAGTAGCTCAAGTTCAAGCTCTAGTAGTTCAAGCTCAAGCTCAGTAGCTCAAGTTCAAGTTCTAGTAGCTCAAGCTCAAGCTCTAGTAGTTCAAGCTCAAGCAGTTCAAGTTCTAGTAGCTCAAGCTCTAGTAGTTCAAGCTCAAGCAGTTCAAGTTCTAGCTCAAGCTCAAGCTCAAGCTCAAGCAGTTCAAGTTCTAGTAGCTCAAGCTCAAGCTCTAGTAGTTCAAGCTCAAGCAGTTCAAGTTCTAGTAGCTCAAGCTCAAGCTCCAAGCTCAAGCAGTTCAAGTTCTAGTAGCTCAAGCTCAAGCTCTAGTAGTTCAAGCTCAAGCAGTTCAAGTTCTAGTAGCTCAAGCTCAAGCTCTAGTAGTTCAAGCTCAAGCAGTTCAAGTTCTAGTAGCTCAAGCTCAAGCTCTAGTAGTTCAAGCTCAAGCAGTTCAAGTTCTAGTAGCTCAAGCTCTAGTAGTTCAAGCTCAAGCAGTTCAAGTTCTAGTAGCTCAAGCTCTAGTAGTTCAAGCTCAAGCAGTTCAAGTTCTAGTAGCTCAAGCTCTAGTAGTTCAAGCTCAAGCAGTTCAAGTTCTAGTTCAAGCTCAAGCTCTAGTAGCTCAAGCTCAAGCAGTTCAAGTTCTAAGCTCTAGTAGTTCAAGCTCAAGCAGTTCAAGTTCTAGTAGCTCAAGCTCAAGCTCTAGTAGTTCAGCTCAAGCAGTTCAAGTTCTAGTAGCTCAAGCTCAAGCTCTAGTAGTTCAAGCTCAAGCAGTTCAAGTTCTAGTAGCTCAAGCTCAAGCTCTAGTAGTTCAAGCTCAAGCAGTTCAAGTTCTAGTAGCTCAAGTTCAAGCTCAAGCAGTTCAAGTTCAAGCTCAAAAGCAGTTCAAGTTCAAGCTCAAGTTCAAGCTCAAGCAGTTCAAGTTCTAGTAGCTCAAGTTCAAGCTCAAGCAGTTCAAGTTCTAGTAGCTCAAGTTCAAGCTCAAGCAGTTCAAGTTCTAGTAGCTCAGTTTCAGCAGTTCAAGTTCTAGTAGTTCAAGCTCAAGCAGTTCCAGTAGCTCAAGTTCAAGTTCTAGTAGTTCAAGCTCAAGTTCTAGCAGTTCAAGCTCAAGCAGTTCCAGTAGCTCAAGTTCAAGTTCTAGTAGTTCATGCTCCAGCAGTAAGTCACCACTAGCTAAGACCAAATATAACCTTGTCTTATAATTTCTTTGCAGAAGATTCAAAGTATCCTACAAAGACAATAGTGGTACAGTTTAAAGTTGGTGAACTTAAAGAGAGTTCTATCTTTTCACAGAATATTCAATTGTAGATAAGAATAAACATTTTTTGTTCTTTTTTTTTTTTTGTATATAATCAACATTCGTAAGCTCAGTACCAGTTCTTCTCTTTGTAGATGCATAATGCTGATCTAGTTAGGCTGTTGGTAAAAGCTAATTGTATTCAATATCTTAAGATTTAGTTTAAGTTCAAGCAATGTCAATACAAATAGTTTAATTCACGTTCTTGTAATTCCAGTTTAATCAGCTCAAGATTAAGCTGTCCAAGTTTATGCAATACATCTTGGCCTCTCAATACCATTTGCTGTTCCTATATGTTCTATACTTTTTACAGGAAATATTCTTATTATGAGTTTAGCAGTGCTTAAAATATATATTTGGCTCTTACCATTATTGGCATCTATATATCTCTCTTCACACTTCAGGAAAGGAAATATTAGTTATATCTTCTATTCATAGGTTCAAGCTCAAGTTCAAGCAGCTCTAGTTCAAGTTCAAGCTCTAGTAGTTCAATTTCAAGCTCTAGTAGTTCAAGTTCAAGCTCTAGTAGTTCAAGTTCAAGCTCTAGTAGTTCAAGTTCAAGCTCTAGTAGTTCAAGTTCAAGCTCTAGCAGTTCAAGCTCTAGTAGTTCAAGCTCTAGCAGTTCAAGCTCTAGTAGTTCAAGCTCTAGTAGTTCAAGTTCAAGCTCTAGTAGTTCAAGTTCAAGCTCTAGTAGTTCAAGTTCAAGTTCTAGCAGTTCAAGTTCAAGCTCTAGTAGCTCCAGCTCAAGCAGTTCAAGTTCAAGCAGTAAGTCTGGGCCTTAGGCTATATCATGCATAATTCAAATTCTGAATTCAGCATATTTGTCTGTTACTTTACCATCTTTCACATTTAGTTATAAATGCACGGATCTAAGAACACTATTGATTATCAAGTTCAAATTTTTAGTACTAGTTCCGAAGTCCATGTACTCGTATAACATAATCAATTTTTTTGTAGATACTCAATTCTTATTTGTAACCCAAAAGGATTGCTGTTTTCAGTGCAATTATACTTTTCTTGCACATTTGTTCTTGCTTACGGCCTGAAATATGTTCTTGAAAGTTAAATTGATCTATGTATTCATAGGTTCAAGTTCAAGCAGTTCCAGTAGCTCCAGCTCCAGCTCTAGTAGCTCCAGTTCATGCTCTAGTAGTTCAAGCTCAAGTAGCTCCAGTTCAAGCTCAAGTAGCTCCAGTTCAAGTTCTAGTAGCTCCAGCTCCAGCTCAAGTAGCTCCAGCTCCAGCTCAAGTAGCTCCAGTTCAAGCTCTAGTAGTTCAAGCTCAAGTAGTTCCAGTTCAAGCTCTAGCAGCTCTAGTTCAAGCTCTAGTAGTTCCAGCTCAAGTTCTAGCAGTAAGTCAGGTCTTGCTAAGATCAAGTATAATACCTGTCTTCTCTCTTGGCAAGAAACATGAAAATCAAAATCCTTCAAAGAGGATATGTTTTTGCCTCAGTTACCATCACGGATTTAGTAAACACATATTTCTTTCTCTTTCTCTTCTCTGTTAAAGTAAAGAAACTGGCATTGAGAATGGTGTTTCCACTGCAGTGATAATGATTATCTCTCTATCATTAGCTAAAAGATAGAAAGGAATTCATCATCTATGTACATAGAAGTTCAAGTCCAAGTAGTTCCAGCTTAAGTTCTAGTTCAAGCAGCTCAAGTTCCAGCAGTTCAAGCTCAAATAGCTAATGTTCTAGTAGTTCATGCTCTAGTAACTGCATCTCAAGCAGTTCTAGAAGGATCTGGATTTGCTAGGACCGAATATTCTTAAATGTCCTAATTTGTTTGCAGGAAGTATAACGTTCCTAAATATAGCATTATTTACAAAGACATCACCCTAGTTTAAACTCAAATGGCATTACAGACGGTAAATACACAATTATCTTTCTTTTTACTAAAACAAGTGTATCTGTCAGCTAAATATGCATTTTTTCATAGGCTCAAGCTCCTGTTCAAGTTCAAGCAGTTCAAGTTCAAGCAGCTCAAGCTCTAGTTGTTCAAGTTCTAGTAGTTCCAGTTCAAGCAGTTCCAGCTCTAGTAGTTCAAGTTCAAGTAGCTCCAGCTCAAGTAGTTCTAGCTCAAGCTCTAGTAGTTCCAGCTCAAGTAGTTCAAGTTCCAGCAGTAAGTCTGAACTGAAAATGCCCTTATATCATTCCTAGGTTTGCTGTGTTCTTTGTAAGGTGTATAATTTACCTTTGCAGATATACCACAAAAGTTCAATCACTAATAACCTTTGCTTATAGGTTCAAGCTCCAGCTCAAGCTCAAGCAGTTCAAGTAGCTCTAGTTCAAGTTCAAGCAGTTCAAGTAGCTCTAGTTCAAGTTCAAGCAGTTCAAGTAGCTCTAGTTCAAGTTCAAGCAGTTCAAGTAGCTCTAGTTCAAGTTCAAGCAGTTCAAGTAGCTCTAGTTCAAGTTCAAGCAGTTCAAGTAGCTCTAGTTCAAGTTCAAGCAGTTCAAGTAGCTCTAGTTCAAGTAGCTCTAGTTCAAGTTCAAGCAGTTCAAGTAGCTCTAGTTCAAGTTCAAGCAGTTCAAGTTCTAGTAGCTCCAGTTCAAGCAGTAAGTCTTTACAAATGAAGTCCATTTATTGCAACGATTTCCTCTCTTTGTGGATGCGTGTCTTATCTGTAACCCGGTAGGACTGCTGTGAAAGAAGAAACTTTTCAGGTCAACATCAAAGAATTTTTTTAAAAAGATTTTGTTTCTACACAGGCTTAAAGTGGAATGATGAAAGTTGATCATAATTTCTATATCCATAGGCTCAAGCTCTAGTTCAAGTAGTTCTAGTTCAAGCAGTTCAAGCTCAAGCAGTTCTAGCTCCAGCAGCTCAAGTAGTTCAAGTTCTAGTAGTAAGTAATTCAAGCAGATCCAGTTCAAGTTCACTTATTAATAGATTCAAGTTGTGGATGTCATAGTAGCTCTCCTTCAAGCGATAAATCTTCATAGTTAAGGCCATTTATTATATTCTGGTTTCCTCTCCTTATAAAAAAAATCATAATCAATAACCAAGACATACTATTGTTACAGAATCTCTTCTACACAATGGCTTTGTTTTCTCAAAATTCATTTCTCCCTATCACTGGTGTTTATCTGATAAGAGGTTAAGGTAGTTTTGTTAACTATAGATATATATTTATAGGCTCAAGCTCTAGTTCAAGTTCAAGCAGTTCCAGTTCAAGTAGTTCTAGCTCAAGCAGCTCAAGTTCAAGCAGCTCAAGTTCAAGCAGCTCAAGTTCTAGCAGCTCTAGCTCCAGTAGCTCAAGTTCAAGTAGCTCCAGCTCAAGCAGTTCAAGTTCAAGCAGTAAGTCTAAACTTGTTTAGACTATTTATGATGCCGTAATCTTCTGTTATCATTGTCTTCATTCCTTTCAGTATATTGATAAGCTAACAACTATCCAAAGCCGTTTGATGCACGAAATATATCCACTTCATTGCAGTGTTGACTGAACATTCTTGAAGCTTCTGAATGATGCATTCTTTACAATTTATGATAACCTTTAGTCCTGCAGTAATCAGGATTTATTTTACATTCTATCATGGAAATTACATTTTGCTTTTATGCAATGAAAGTTGCATTTTCCTATATGATGAAATTCTTTAACCTATCATTTTCATGAGGAAAGCATTTTTTTCGTTTTTGCCCTACTGAAACTAATTTTTTATTTACTTAAATTGGAACACAGAATTATACACTGCGATTAAAACTAATTTTTTATTTACTTAAATTGGAACACAGAATTACACACTGCGATTAAAACCGAATCATCTTCATACAAGGACTGCACTGCTTTTGTTTGTTGGTGTATAATGTTCATTTGCATTCCCCATAACCAGTAACTGCCTTTTTATCAGTCTAAAATGAGGTCTGCAGCTGTAAATATTGGTAAATTCTCTATTTTCTGCCCTTCCTATAGTTCATGTTCATAGGCTCAAGCTCGGGTTCAAGTTCAATAAGTTCATGTCCAAGTAATTCTAGCTGTAGTATTTCAAGCTCCAGTATTTCTGGTTCAGGTTGCTCTAGGTACTCCAGTTCAAGCCGTAAGTCTAAGCAAAGGCTATGCAGTAAAACTTGTTTTTCAGTAATCATATATGTTATCCTTTTCCCCTGTAGTGGATGTTGAAGTAGCTGAAGATCACACAGTTCAATTTCAAGGTCTGTTTGCTGTGATCAAATATTGTGATCCTAAGGCATAATAATTTTGTTTTGGAAATCTCACTTATTTTCCAAGTACCATAAGTTCTTTGCAGGGGGGGGGGTTTATTTAGAGATGTTTTGGATTATTCAGTTACAATTTTTTCCCAATCAGTGAAAGTAAAATACATAGAATGGCAGCTCAGCTATTTATTAATTTATAAGTACTTATTGTATATGTAAAGCATATTGATTCATAGTCATACTGTATTCATAGGTTCAAGCTCAAGCAGTTCTAGTTCAAGCAGTTCAAGTTCTAGCAGTTCCAGCTCAAGCAGCTCAAGCTCTAGTAGTTCCAGTTCAAGCAGCTCAAGCTCTAGTAGTTCCAGTTCAAGCAGTTCAAGTTCTAGTAGCTCCAGCTCAAGCAGCTCAAGTAGTTCTAGCAGTTCCAGCTCAAGCAGTTCAAGTTCCAGCAGTTCAAGCTCTAGTAGCTCCAGTTCAAGTTCTAGCAGTAAGTCTGCACTAGCTAAGACCATATATTACATCTTATGATTACATACATATATTTAATATTCCAGGCATTATCCAGATACATTTATCCCTAGTAAAAATAGAGACTTCCCGATTCTCCCTATTCAAAAACTCTTACACCTCTGGGAGATTGCTTTCTTTCCTCCTTTGGCAAGGTTAAATATTATCTATTATCGATACATTCCTAGGTTCAAGCTCTTAGTCAAGTTCAAGTAGTTCCATCTCAAGCAGCCTAAGTTCTGCAGTAAGTTTTCACTACTCAAGACCATAATTTACATCCTAGTTTTCAGAAAGAATACGTCATTCTCTTTTCAGAAAACATTTCTTTGAAGAGGGTACCATTTGGCCATTATTTTTTTTTTATATTTATTTAATGGGTGCTTCCAAACAGACACAAGGTTAAATTGATGAGAAATGTCTGAGGACTTCTATACATTATAGTAGTATCAAGACTGGATTTCTTACATTTTATATTTGTTATCTACTTTTATCTTTCTGCTTAGCAAGATCCATGACAATTTTGTAACCCCTCTGATATAAGATAAGAATTTTAAGAATCTGTATATCCATAGGTTCAAGCTCAAGTTCCAGCTCGAGTAGCTCTAGTTCAAGCAGTTCAAGTTCTAGTAGCTCTAGCTCAAGTAGTTCCAGTTCAAGCAGTTCAAGTTCTAGTAGTTCCAGCTCAAGTAGTTCCAGTTCAAGCAGCTCAAGCTCTAGTAGTTCCAGTTCAAGCAGTTCAAGTTCTAGTAGTTCCAGCTCAAGCAGTTCAAGTTCTAGTAGTTCCAGCTCAAGTAGTTCCAGTTCAAGCAGCTCTAGCTCAAGTAGTTCCAGTTCAAGCAGCTCAAGTTCTAGTAGTTCCAGCTCAAGCAGTTCAAGTTCTAGTAGTAAGTCTTCACTAACAAGGGCTAAATGTTACATGTCACCTAACCAATACTTCTGGCATTATCAAAATTAAATCATAATTTTTATTTTTTGTTAAATGATGTTCCACTTCACCAGAAAACCTCATTCTTAATCCTGATTTTAGATCTGGCCATAGTCTTACTCCTTTTGTCATACATCTTTAATACAAGGCCAAATGTTTTTTTTTTTTTTTATAATCCATGTATTCATAGGTTCAAGCTCTAGCTCAAATTCTAGCAGTTCTAGTTCCAGCAGTAAGTCTGCATGACCAGACACTACATATTACTTTTACTTTTATTATTTCCTCTCCTATTTTTTGCCATTATCTTTGGCCAGACAGTATTAACTATTCCTATAGGTGTTTCCGTGTTGAATACCACTTATTTATTTTTTTCTCAAGCCAAGATCTTCACTTTCAAATCATAATATACCTTCTGCGAGCAAAGAACCATTATTGTCTTTATATCCATAGGTTCAAGTTCCAGTTCCAGTTCAAGTAGTTCTAGTTCAAGTAGTTCCAGTTCAAGCAGCTCAAGCTCTAGTAGTTCCAGTTCAAGCAGCTCAAGCTCTAGTAGTTCCAGTTCAAGCAGTTCAAGCTCTAGTAGTTCCAGTTCAAGCAGCTCAAGCTCTAGTAGTTCCAGTTCAAGCAGTTCAAGCTCTAGTAGTTCCAGTTCAAGCTCAAGCTCTAGCTCAAGCAGTTCAAGTTCTAGTAGTAAGTTGTGGTGGAACCTTTTATGATGACTGTATTTGCATGGGGGGAGAGACAGACTCCAAACCGTTGTTGGTTACCAGATTATTAATGATTTATATATTGTAAATCCAGTAATTTTGCTACAGCTAGGATTCATTCAGTAACAAATAGT